CGACAGAGCCATGTAGATTTGTTGTTTTGGCAAAGGCAAATGAAGCCGCGATTTAAATGATCGCGGCTTCATTTACATTTACATGGCTGCAGCGCTGAGCCGACAAACAGCTGATCAGCTGTTTGTCGGCTCAGCGCTGCAGCCATGTACATTTAAATGAAGCCGCGATCATTTAAATCGCCGCTTCATTTCCCTTTGCCCAATAAACAAATCTATATGGCTCTGTCGACGGAGCCATGTAGTGTAGACGTACCCTCAGTCAGGATCTCTGGGGCCGGGCTCAGGGTGTTGAGCCGGTGCCAGAGCATGGACAGGACAAGTTGATTTAGCACCAGCACCCTCCCGTGAAGGGAGAGACACTGGAACAGTCCTGTCCATCTCTGCAGCCGCTCACCTACCCTAGTCTCCAAACCTTGCCAGTTCTCCGGCGGAGAAGGATGCGTGGTGGATAAATAGACACCCAGACAGAGCAGTGGACCCGCGCTCCACATGATGACCTGAAGCGTGGGTGGGAGGGAGCTTGCCCGCCACCTGTCCCCACACACCAGGCCAGAGACCTTGACCCAGTTGATCCGAGCAGAGGAGACTGCCAAGTAGATGGCTTGGGAGGCCTCCACCCGCGCCAGGTCGCCCGTTATCCTTGACCACGAGGAGCACGTCATCGGCATACGCCGACAGAACCAGCCGCAGCTCTGGCTCTCGGAGCACCAACCCCGTCAACCTCCTACGGAGGAGACAGAGGAAGGGCTCAATCACCAGAACGTACAGCTGGCCTGACAGCGGACACCCTTGACATACTCCCCGCCTGAAGCTGACTGGCTCGATCAGGGTCCAGTTGAGCCTCCCTCTCACAGGCTCCCAGGGTTCAAGCTCCAGCATGAGCCTGAATGTCTATGCTGCATTTAAATAGCCTGAAAGCCTGAGTCAGCTGGCACAGGTCAGGTCTGGATTTTTAACCACAGTATAGATATACCCTAAGGAGCACTAGAGAGAGAACAGAAGGAAGTAGCTGCAAAAGGAACTCTGGCCATGGGAGACTGATCAGGAAGCAAGGGCCCTGTCACTCACCAAAACCTAACTACTAAAATAAGTTCAGGTAAATCAAATAACAAAACTACCTCCCTCCTGCTCACAAGCCTCATACCAACATTGAGGCTCCATAAGAGACTCCATTTCCTTGCTGTGCACTATCCAATAGCTTTTTGCCAGTGAAGAACAAATCTATCAAAGGGCACATCTTCACTTGTCATGCCACAGGTTGATCTTTTGGTGTTTAATTTAGTGGGTCTAGTTAAGACCTGAAAATCAAACACTGAGGGCAGCTCCAGCCAGTGCCTGTACTTCTTGCAGTCGTGAGGAGTAAGAGAAGCCGATGGGTGCATTTGTTCCCATTGGCCTCATGTTGAGGGGACATCACCAAGATTGGCTTAAGGCAGTGTTTCTCAATGTGGTCCACAGACCCACTGTGAGAAAGCTGCTACCACCCGCCACTCCGGTTTGTTTACTCACTGGCTCCACAGCCACAGAACCTTGTGACTCCCATTGGCTGTGGATTGTCATTTACAATAAGGATGTTAAGAGGCGGATAATTCACTAATCGTGCAGTTGACAGAATTTTTATTGACTACACAATTAGTCAATAAGGGAAATAGTGCTCAGTCATGGCTCGTACCGGGGTCAGGAGCGAACCCTGCTGCAGCTTTGCAGTTTAAATGCAGTAGGAGCTGGGCGGGCAAGCAGCCTGGTTCCTACTACATTTAAACTGCAGAGCTGCAGCAGGGGTAGGTCCTGGACCAGGCACGAGCTGGCTGCCTGCACAGCTGAAGAAGGGAGCTAGGACCCCTCGCAGACAAGGGCTGCTGCTGGAGCAGCCTCCCCTCATGCTGCTGTCTCTGATAGGGGCGGGGGGAGGGGCAGGCAGCACCACAGAGACAGTGCTGGGAAAGCTGGCTTTTAAGACGGCTCCCCTTAGCACTGGCTCTTACTTCCCCTTCCCTGATACAGAGGCAGCAAGGGGGATGCAAGAATTCAACTCAACTAGTCAACTACTCACTTACATGCCTAGTTTGCAGCCAAGAGGAGTTTGCAGCCAGTGAGGTTCTGTGGCTGCGGAGTTGGTAAGTAAACAAACCAGAGCAGCCCGGTGGCAACTTTCTCATAGTGGATCTGCAGACCACTTTGAGAAACACTGGCTTAAGGTAAGACAACTCCAGCTATGTAGAATACATAGCTGGATTTGTACACTTTAAGCTGACCTTCCAGGACTAGTGTAGACCTGGCCTAAGTGACATAGGGTTTGTTTTCCTGGTAAAATGAGTAAGTGGTCAAGCAATCTCCTCTTAGCCTTTCTAAATGGTTGCAACCTGCTCTAATATCAATTGACGTATCTTCCTTCTGCACAGAGGGTGAAAGCACAAGCACCCTCAGTAGCATTACTTCAAAAAACATCATTCGTTGGTTTAAGCCAGGTGGCTCCACAGAGATCTCAATGGAACTCTCGAAGCCTCCACTGTGGACATCTTCTGGGTATGTCTTCACTACAGAGAAGATTGAAGCTGCCACTGTTGATCTTCCAGCATTTGAATTAGCAGGTCTAGTGAAGACAGCTAATTTGAACTGAGAGGGGCACTCTGGTCAACACTGATAGTCCTGCTTCTATGAGGAGTAAGGGTAGTCAAAGGGAGAGTGTTCTCCATTTGGCTTTCTGCAGTATAGACAGTGCCAAAAGTCGAGTTAAGATACTTTGATTTCAGCTACACAATTAATGTAGCTGAAGTTGCGTATCTTAATTCAACCTTATCCCAGAGTGTAGACATACCCTCTGATGCTTGTCAGTCACCCATAGGGGAATGAACAGAGCCACCTGCTCTAAAAGAAAGATGTTCCTTACCTTATAATAAGTGAAGTAGTTGGAGATGTGTGTGCGCTTCTATCTGTATTCTGCTGCCTCACCCTCTTCCCCCTGCCTTGGATCCTTTGCTTGCTTTGTCATGGTAATGGTTCTGGAGAAGCTATTAGTCCACTCTGCCCCTTGTACTCTTGATCTGCAGTTTGAGGAGAAGAGTGTATGTGCAGACTAACAGTTTCTTACTAGCAGTGTCTAAGACTTAGGAGCATGGAGCACATACCCATCTACCAGTGGACTATAAATAGTGATTGCACATCTGAAGAACTCCAGATACTACAACACAAATAACTTCTTTCACTGGCCATCAGAGATCTGTTCAACCAGGAAAGACTAGAACAGTACAGCCAGAAGGTTCCAAGGCAGTTGGTGATTGGCAGAGGACCCTCCAGGCTGCTGAGTGCTGCTTTCTAGGGGAGGCCTCTGGCAGAATAGGAACACCAACAGCTTACCAAGTAGCAGTGCTGGTTCAAACATATCAAGAACTTCTTTCTCTGCTATTGGCATCTTTTTCCTGTTTGAGCTGTAAGTTGCAAGGATTTATCCCTTTTCTTCATCACCACCTGCCCTTCAATGCCTGCTAGGATCTGTGTGTATGGAGGAAGCATTAGGTAACTGTATTGATGCTTTCTGCTTTGACCAAATGTATCATTTTGATACAAACCCAATTACAACAAAAATCAGTAGGTCCTTTCCCTGGCTTTGTTTCTGTAAGCAAGAGTGGGAAAGGTGCCATAGTTAGGATGACTGTAAAGGGGCAAGTATTGAGAGTTGTCCAGGGTTCCCTGAAAAGTTCACAAACCCCACAAACCTGTCCTCCAGGGTCCCTCAGCAGCCTGGGCACGAACAATTAAATCCCAAGCTAGCATTTCAGCCTGACCTGCTCAAAAGAGAACAGGCCAGGACCCGCAAGCCTTGAGCGCTAATCCTGGCTCCACCCCCAGCCTCACATACAACTTCAGGAAAGTTATTTCACTTTCCTACACCTCCGTTTGCCCTGGCGCACAAGGGAGCGAATGCTGCTTGCTCGGCTCCCCCTCGGGGAGGGATGTAGTAGCTAGGAGCAGCGCCAGGCGTTACTGAGCTGGGCGTTTGACTGGGCACTTGCACGCAGAAGCGAGGAGAAGAGGGCTGGCGGGAGCAGGGAGAGACTAGCTCCTAGGGGCGGGGGCAGGGCTCCGAGCCTGGCAGGGAGGGTGGCGCGGAAGGAAGGCGCTGGGGCGGGAGGCTGGCGCCTCAGCGGGGCCGGGCCGGGTCTCTGGCCAGCAGTCCCGACTGCAGCGGCGGCGCGGCAGGCAGGGCCCGGGTGGTGGCGCTGCGCGGAGGCCTAGAGCTCGCGAGCTCGCCCAGGCTCCGCTAGAGAGGGCCCCTAAGCTGGGAGTCGAGCCATGTCCAAGGCCTGAGGGGCAGCGAGTGCCGCGGGCCCCTGCCGCCCGCACCGTAAGCGCCCACCCCGAGCGGCCGGGGGAGAAAGGAGGCGGCCGGGGGAGGCCGGGCCGCTCCCCAGGAAGATGAGGCGGAGGCCCGGGGAGCGGAGCAGGTTGAGCGGCGGCTCCTTCCTCGCAGCCGCCAGGACAAGATGGCCGGGGCGGCGGCAGGCAGCTCACCCCGGGCTGGGAGGCCCCTTCCCGTGACTCTCCTGGCCATGCCCAGGGCGGCAGCGGCGGCTCCGACACTAGCGCTGCCCGACCTGTGAAGGTGAGGGGCGGCCCTGGCTGCGCGCGGGGAACCTGCTCCCGTCCCGCGCCTCTGCCCGGGGCTGGGGCGCGGCGAGCTGGGCGTCCGCGCGGGAGCAGGCTTGGGTGCTGCTCGCCCCGTCTCTGGGGAGGGGCCGCCGCGCCGAGCCCGCTGGCCCGAAGGCGCCTCCTGCCGGGGGACAGGCACGTTGGGGCCGTGAGCGGCGGCGATGGGGCCCTCGGTGGCGCTGTCACTTGGGGTGGCGGGGTGAGCCGCCCCCTTTCTGATAGCGCCTTGTAGCCGAGTGCTTCGTTCCCTGCCCGTGGGGCGCTGGGCAGGCGGTGCCCCACCTCGCACTGCGCAGCTTCCCTGGCACTAAAGTTTGCCCATGGAGGTGACGCTCCACGAAAAACCTAATGGTAAACAGGCAGGGTGCGCCCTCACCGAGCGTCCCTTGTGTTTTCCCGGCCCCCCTTGTCACCGCTTCCCTCCCTTGTGCCCAGACGCTTCCCCTTCTTTGCCCTAGTCTCCAGGGCGCTCTGCAGTTTCTCCTTGGGCGGGCTTGCTTGACGTGTGTAACCCTAACCCGAGGATCGGTGTGTGATTGTTGTGATCTAAGAAATGCGATACCCCTCCGCTTGCAACTTGTTAGGCCAGCAGGAAGGCGTGGCTGCCGAGCTTCTCTTATTACAGCGATCATTGCTTCCCTTTGTGTCACAGGAGTAATTTGCAGATGTAGTTTGGGGACGAGTGTGCATTTCCATTTCAGAGGGGGAACAGAATTGGTTAAAATGGTACGTGAGACTGATGGCAATTCAACGGAACTTCTGTGGAACTTACGTTGCTGCAGTTTTTTCTCCTTCTCTTCTCCTCTCCTCTCCCCATGATTTAGTAATACTGTAAGAGTTAGTGTAGTCCTTGTATGGTATTCGCAAACTCTGTGAAACGCTGCCGTTGTTCCCAGGTGACGGTATAGTTATTCTGTTTATTTACCAAGAGCTCTTTTAGAAAATGTTTATCTGTTGTCGTGTTGATTCTTTACCATTCTCAAATATTTATAACTTGGCAGGTCTAGTTGGAGCTTGACAAAAATTAGTTAGGATGTGTTGCTTTGTATTTTAAACACTTGCTTGGAGACTGGCCAAAAGTAATTTTTTTCAGGGGTTCAGATGCTTTTTTTTATGAATCTTTTTATAGGGGAATTCTTGCCAGTCATTAGCTTTTAAAATAAGTTGTCTTCTTGTAGTTATAATTTGACTATTTCAAAAGAAACAATTTCTTTTTTGAATAAAACTTTGAACAGAATCTGTATCCCAGTTCTATTTTGGTTTTGGGTGTTGAGTATCTTGTCTTGTACAATATAAAATCAATTACTGCAAATGTATTAGTTAACTTTGTAAGATAAATATTAATGACTCTCTTTATATCAAACCATAAATGAGCTAGTAGTACAAGTAGTATTTAAAATTATTGTTATAGGTTATGGCTCTGTTGATACTAGATGCTAATGTGTAATTTTTAAAATGAGAGAGCCAGAAACTAATGTATACTATTTCCATCCTATAGTCAGGAGTTTGTTCCTAGCTATTGTATTATATCATAATGTTTTAAGACTTCTGAATTTACATAACAGATCTTAAATGTCTTTGAAAGACCATTTCGCAACATGTTTTTAATTTGATCACTACCTTTATATACAGGCCAAGTACATTGCTAGTGTGGAGTAACTGATGTTAAAGCTGTAGTTCACTTTAGTAACAAGATTCAGAGAGTTAAATATTCTGTATTTTTAAAAAATATTATGTTTACATAGGATTACAGCGATTTCACTAAGTGTCTGTTCAAATAGAGCAGCTGATTTGAAAGCAAAATAAAAATATTGGCCAATTTCCAGAGTTTTGGTTTATAGAAACATTTGGCAAATTAATATTGCTACAGGAGAAACTATGTTTGAAATATACACTGTAACTAAAAACTGTCTTAACTTTAAGAAGCATGTCAGCCAGCAGAGTAAGTAATTAAGCGGCTGAAAAAATAGGTCAGGGCTGTATTATGAAGTGGCAGGATGAGATTGCAAATAAAGACTACAGCAGTGTGTAAATTTTTTGTAGGTAACTTAAGTGGGGAAAAATAAAGTAATATGATAATGATGAATGCGTTATCTTAGCATATATTAAACCTGCAGATAGATAAGTGTGTATGGTAAGCCAGATGTATTTAATCATGTAGAAGAATTTGCTAGACTAGATGTTTTATTATACTAAATATTGGAAACTTGAATTGTAATGATATTTTGGCTGCCCATCTGTGATGTAGTATTATTTTGGTAATTTATTTCTTCATAGATTTGTTTGGGTAGGATTTATGACCGGTATGTTTGTGGTATTAATGTGATTCTGTGTATTTGTAAACATTTTGGAATTAGACTCCATCAACTTGAATTCTTTTTAGTTTAAAAAATAAAATGGTTTATCGCTATATCTGCCTTGAGCACCTCTTGACAACTTCTATAGTTTCTTACATTTGGATGTCTTCTGCTGCTGTCTTTTTGTGAGAGACCCAGGCAAACAGGAAAACAAAGAGATATCAAATATACGGAGGAAATAAATTGTGGGCGAGAAATCAGTTACAGAAGTATTAAAGAGAATTCAGATAAGAGGTTGTGTTGTTTTACTAGACTGTTTTAAAGGAATACCAGGTGATGACTTGGAGGTGTGATTTTTCTTTCAATCCTTAGTGTGTGAACTTAATACTGCTCTCATTAAAATCTATAGGAGTTTTGCCAGTTAGGTTCTGAAAATCCCACCCTAGATATATTGTTAGATATATTGTTAGGTCTTGATTCTGCAGGCTTGTGTTCCCCTGAAGTCCAGTTACGTGCATGAGCTTGTGGATTTGAGAATTTAAAATGTTAGTTTAGAGAATAAAAAGCAAAATACAATTTTATTTATGTGTTACCACTAATAAATTGTAAGATGCTCTTATTTTGTCTGACAGATTTTTGAAGTTTTTTAAAAAATTACAAGTTTGCTCTCACTTTCGGAATTCTCAGTGGATGTGTCTTTTTGCCATGGACAATAATATGATTACAAATGGCTGGGCATATTTTTTCTGGATTTTTGAAGTAATGTCAAATGCAGAGGAAAATCTTTAATTTTGGAAATCTGGTATTTAACTTTCAGCTGATGTATTGATTTAGTAACTATTGGTAGAAGTAGATTGTGTGTACAGACACATACAAATAGGGGGGATGCAGTTTGAATGAGAAATACTACCACACACAAAGTTAATCTGCACGTTTTTGTCAAACATTCTGTAAGTTATGGTTTGTGTGTAAGAGAATTAGCACTACATTGTTTACAGTTTGATTATCAACTTTACTTTTCTGATGTGTAGAGGGCCCTACCAAATTCATGGTCCATTCTGGTCAATGTCACAGTTATGGGATTTTAAAATCATGAAGTTTCCAATTTAAATATATGAAATCATGAAATTTCTGGTGGTGTAATTGAAGTACAGGTTGCACCTCTATAAACTGGAACTCTTTGGTCTGTTCCAGGATCAGAGAGTCTTGACGTGCTGTGGAAGGACTGGGAGCCTAGTGTTATGCAGCTGTTAGGGCGGAGGATGATGTGTGGCATAGCTGGGCTGCCAGGGAGAGGGGACTGGGAGCTGGTGTGTGGGTCAGGTGGGCTGTGAGGGTGGGCGATTGGAACCTGGTAGTGGGTGGGGGGAGCAAGGTGGGAGGCCAGCATCAGGGAGGCCAGAAATGACCTCCCCTGTCCAGGAAAAATCCCTTATCTGGTCAGGTCTAGAGGGGGCTGGACCAGAGAGATCTAACCTGTAGTCCTGACCCAAAAAGGAATTTTGGGGGAGAGGTTGCGAAATGATTGTAGATGAGGGATGCAGTACTGTTACACTTCCGATCTGCTGCTGTTGGTGGGCCCTTCAGAGCTGGGCAGCTGGAGACCAGGTACTATTGGCTGGGAGCTCAGCTCTTAAAGCAGAGCCATCACAAGCAGCAGAGCAGAAATAAGGATGCCATAATATGCATTGCTATCTTTTGGCACTGCTGCCTGCGGAGCTGTGCCCTTGGTCAGCAGCTGCCACTGTCTGGCTGCCCCTGCTCTGAAGGCAGCAATGCAGAAACAATGGTGTCCTGGTATGGTATTGCCACCCATGCTTCTGCCTGGCCAGCAGCTACCACTCCCCAGCTGCCCATCTCTGACGGCAGCGCAGAGTAAAGTGGGCAAAACCATGACCCCCTTAATATAATTTTGATTCCCCCAACTCCCTTTTGGGTCAGGACCCCCCAGTTTGAGAGAAGATGGTCTCCCCTGTGAGATCCATAAGAACAGGCATGCTGAATCAGACCAAAGGTCCTTCTAGTCCAGTATCCTGTCTTCCAAGAGTGGCCAATACCAGGTGCCCCAAAGGAAGTGAACAGAACAGGTAATCATCAAGTGATCCCCCTCCTGTCATGCATTTCCAGCCTCTGACAAACAGATGATAGCAACACCATTACTACCCATCCTGGCTAATAAGTATTGATGGACTTACCCTCCCTGGATTTATCTAGTCTTTTTTGAGCCCCATTAAAGTCCTGGTCTTAACAGCATTCTCTTGCAAGGAGTTCCATGGGTTGATTGTGTACTCTGTGAAGAAAAACTTTGGTAGGGTAAAAAAATCTGTAAGATAAAAGCAACAAAAGGCCACATTTTACAGGGGGAGACCAGATTTCCCAGTCTGTGATGCATTTTTCATGGCTGTAAATTTGGTAGAACCAATGTGTTCATACTCCGACAGTTAGGTAGAATAGCCTAATCAGCAAACATGAAAAATGAAACAAGGACTATTAATCTTCTTCAGTGATGTACTCCATGTTGGGATTAATTAAACGACACCCCTAGCTCATTGTAAGAAAAAGCTTCCAGTCTCATTTGTAGCTTTGCAAAAGCTCTTAAGATGAATTTACAGCGAATCTCTTGTTGCGATTTCTGCACAGTTACAAGAGAATTTAA